CTTATCGAAATGCTTCCATCTACTAACTTTGATTCGAATAGCATTCTTAATAATGCTAATCACTATATCCGGATTATTCTAATTGTTAGCAAATCGTCGATTATTCCTTTCTCTTCAAAGCTGATAAACTGTGCGGCAGATTGTAAGAAAACTGAAGGACTTCTCCCATTTGGAAAGCTGAAGAGAGTTGTCCAAGTATTCAAAAAATTTTAACATATTCGGTCTAAGTAAGAAAGAATTTAAAGCAGGAAGAAGTTTATTTATCACATAAAATGTAAAATCACAGTAAAAGAAAATATGGTTATGATCTTCATGAGCTTTGTGACATAGGCAGCATTCCGGATTAATCTGAATGGATCTTCTAATCAGCAAGTCTACAACTTTCAACTTCTGCAAAATAGCCATCAAGGAGAAAATTGAGTATCTAAGAGAATAATTCTTGTGCCAAACATATTTATGCCTTGTTACCTTCTCCAAGTGGGAATAATAAGAGTCCATGAAATCCTTAAACTTAGGATTAAAAGAGCCACCTCAAGCTAAAGCTGGATGCTCTTTTATTTTTATAGTATAAATTTCGTAACCAACATTCTCAGGTATCGATTCAGGAAGAAACCAATTATAATCTCTGATGCAGTCTTTAATCGTTAAACCAGAAAGTGACTTGGCAGCAAGAAAACAATCAGACAACGCTTTCCCATTTAACCAAGGATCCCAATATAGAGAGAAATTAGAAGAAGGGGTGATTTGAAATGTTATATGATTCTTAATTTTATAAGCAGTGACATAGATATTTTTCCAGAATTTAGAAGCTTTAGCCGACGGAGGTTTCCAGGGGAAAAATATTTGGTTTAAAATTATGAACTGATTAAGGAATCCTGCATTAACATGCGCCAAATGAACGAGCAGTAAACACTAAAATAAAGGGAATCAACTGAGGGAATCCCTAAACCGTCCTTCTACTTAGGAATCACAATTTTATCCCAAGAAATCAGGTGAATTTTCTTCCCGTTAATATTCCCGTGAAACAAGAATTTAGAGCATAGCTTAGAGATAGTTTTACAGATGGCTTTAAGTATAATGGATCCCCTGATCCAATAAGCTAAAGTATTTGAAATAGTATACTTCAAAAATTGCACTCTTCTAGCTAAAGAGAGGAGGCGTACCTTCCACCCATCAAGCAAAGAAGTAATTTTACTCAAGAGATGCTAAAAATGAGAAGAATTAAGTCTCTCTAAGGAGATATGAATCCTTAGATAAGTGAGATAGTGGTTCCTATGCGTAATTCCCATAATATTACAAAATTGTTCTACATCTACAACATGATGGAGAAAATTATAGAACTTTTGGAAGAGTTTATAATCAGACCTGAAGCTTCTGCAAAATCCAAAAGGATTTTATTCAAACCTGTGGCATTTTGTGACACTGCAGATCCAAACACAAGCAAGTCATCTACATACATGAGATGGTTAAATGTTTTACCTTTTATTTTAAAACCAGCTGAGTTATTCCCCAAATAATCCGAAGAAAGACTACAAGATAAGACATCCATCACTAAGCAGAAGAGAAGGGGAGATAATTGACGCCCTTGTCTAAGACCCGAGGATGTTTTGAAGAAATCTTTCAATGAACCATTCAAACAAATTGAAAAATGCACATCTGAACTACAACCTTGTACCCATTTGATAAACAACTCCGGGAAACCTTTTTGCCTCATTCTATTTAACAGAAAACCTCAGGAAACAGTATCGAAGGAATTTCTAATGTCCATCTTAGCATAAAACATATTACTAGTAAAATTAAATTCTCTAAGAACTTTAGAAGCTAGCAAAATATTGTAAATAGTACTTATATTATGAATAAAGCCAGCTTGGCTTTCATGAATAATGAAAGGTAAAATAGTTTTCAGTATATTAGCCAGCAGTTTAGCTATGGTTTTATAAAAAAACATTGTATAAGGAAATCAACCTGAAATCATTAATATTATAAGCATGCAGACTTTTTGGGATAAGCATAATGCCCGTAGCTTTAACCCCTTTCGGAAGTTGGCCAGAGGAGAAAAAACTTTTAACAGCCTTACATAAATAAAACCCAATGATGTGCCAAGATTTTTTATAAAATTCAAACGTGAACCCATCCGGACCCGAGGCAGAGCATGATGAACCATCAAATACCACACTTTTAATCTCTGCCTTAGAAAATGGAACCGTTAAAGAGCTAATCAAATGAGAGGGAATCCTGTTACCCACAGGAATATTATAATTATTTTCCTTAATAGGCTTAGGAGAGTTAGAAAGCTATTTGTAATGATTAATAACCGCCTCAGCAATCTCCATGTGTTTATCAAAACTACCAGTAGGAGTAGTAATTTCTTTGATAACATTAATGTTATTCCTGGATCTAATATGAGCATATAAAAACCCCAGGTCATTTTCCCCATGGCTTAGCCATTTAGTTTTAGCTCTTTGGTAAAGCCAAGAGGACCAAGCATTATTCATAATGCTAAATTTGTCATAGGTTTGCTTATAAAGAATATTTAAATTCCTATTCAGCGGATCTATTTGTAAATCAGCCATGTACCATTGCTGTTTCTCCTTCAATTCTAGCATAGAGTTTAAAAAGTAGCACGAAGAAGACCAATTTCTATCCTTCATAGATTTTTTCAGGATCTGTAAAGATTTATAAAAAGCAGCAATATGATTGCTATTAATAGGTATGTCAAAGGCATTGATAACCTCCTCCCAAAACCCCTCCATATTTATCCAGAAGTTTTTAAACAGGAATCTAGATGGATTCTCATCCCTTTGTGATGTAAACAAGATTAACGGGGAGTGATCATAATAATGTGAAGGCAAAACTTTATAGAAAATTGAAGGAAATATTCCAGCATATAATTATTAGCAAGCATTTTATCTATTTTAATATGATGTGGGAGTCCAGCTTTTGATTGTACTAGGTATTAAAAAGACCGACAGAAGCTAAATCTAGCACACCATAATCAAATATAATTTTGTTCAGCTCACCCAAATGACTTGATTGAGAATAGTTTCCACCAGCTTTTTCATTTTTAGATCTGTAACAGTTGAAGTCACCCATGGTGACCCAAGCAAGAGAGGGGTCCGAAACTAAACTCCTCAACTGATCCCATAACATTTTTCTATCTACAATATTGTTAGCAGCATAAATAATAGATAGTAAAATGGGTGGTTGCGACCCCACCGAAAGAGTGCCATGTATGATTTGAGTAGAAATGAAGAGGGGAGAAAAGGAAATTAAAAGGGGGTTCCACTTTATCCAAATCCTAACAGGATTGGAACAACAGAAATTGTTACTTCTACTCTCATTGTTAAAAAGCATATGAGAGTTAATAAACCAAGGATCAAACAGGGCCTCGTTATTAACTTTAGCTTCTAAAATACATAACATACTAAGATCATAAGAAGTCACAAGCTCTCTACATGCTTTCACCTTTTAGGGTTATTGAAACCCTTAACATTCAAACAAGCAATATGAGAAAAAGACATTAATTCTTGGAAGTTTTCGCCTTTCTGACAGATTTGGCCCTAGTTTGCACAAAAAGGGAGAAGATTGAGATTTGTTCATAGAAGAATTAGGAGGAGGAGGAATATCCATCTTAGTTATATTGTCATTAGAATTAGCTTCAGTGCTATTATCATCCAAATCTTGATTTGGAGGATCATCTGATTGAAGTGCAGCAAATTTATTTGAAAGCCTTACATTGGACGGGGGAATTATATGAGGGAGAGAAGGATGGCTTGAGGAAGAAACTTCCTCAATTGGAAAGTGTTGAGATTAGGAATAATTGCATCATTAGACACGCAATTATTAGGGACCAAAAAGTTATTTCCTTTTCAACTGGAGGAGTTAAATTAGGTAAGGGATTAAAGGTAGAGTTAATACCTTCCAAATTTGACCGTTGCGGAGAGGGAGGTTTTGCAGGATCCTGATTTTGAGATCTAGGTTTTCAGCTTGCGCTTCTTCCTATATTCCTGGATTTTGGAGGAGGATAAACAACAGGCATGAGATTGGGATTGGATTTGCATGAGGAATAAGGATGAACCAGAGATCCACATCCTTCACAACGGCTGGGTTTCCAATCGTAAATAACTTTAAGCTGTATATCTTCACCTTCTATATTAATCGGTATTTCATCCGGTAAAGTCGAATCTTTAGATATTGAAACAGACACCCTAGCAAAAGTTAATTATTTTCTTTTGGCTGTGAGAGAATCAACAGATAAAGGTATACCAATACAGCTTGCAATTGTTGAAATTCCTTTTAGAGTCCAAAGGGCTAGAGGGAGGTCAACAATTTTAATCCAAAGGGGGATGAAATAAAGTTCATCTCTCTTATGTTGGAATTTAGGAGACCATTTTTGGAGTATGAATGGTTTCCCCAATAGAAACCAAGGCCACCCGAACCAAACCAAATAAAAAACTTCTTGGTTTGTAAACTTAATCAAGAAAAACCCATCTGCCATAGATAGTAAAGAAAACGAATCTTTCAAGTTCCAAACCTTTTTCATTGTTGCAAGCAGTCTCTCATAATAAGTCTTGGCCCTAAGGAATATCCGACTAGCGAAAAGGACCAAATAGAAAGACCCTCAGTGAGATCATCTTCTTTAAAAGTAAGTTTCTGACTCGATCGAACAAAGAATACAGTAAAATCTTCTGGCACCGAGGAAGGATTTGCGAGGTTCTTTGCGAAGGAGACATTGGTAGAAGCAGGGATTGGCCCCGGAATCGAAGGATTCTGAAGCGGAGGGAAATCGCTGATCTCCATCTGGGAGAGGAGTCAAACCTCTCCCAGACGGAAGTAGCCTGAATGGCGGTGAGATCTCCTGGAAAAAACCCTAGAACCTCCTAGTTTTCTTAGAGCCTCAAAAACTATTTCTCTTCTTAATAAGTCTCATTCATTATGTGGAATACTTGGTAATACACTTATCATCAGGTTCATCATGTGGATAATATGTATATACGTAAAAAAAAAAAAACATAACATTTTATAATTACCTCACAACCATTACTAAATGAAACAAAGCTTACAAGGTGGATTAACACATTAAGAGTAATTAATCAACACTCATTAATCACTCACTCCTAAAATTCCCACCTCCATGAAAGTAATTAGCAAACACATTAATAAACAAATTTATTAATCACTCCCATATCCCCACTTCCATAAATCCATCCTCAGTAGCACATCCCCTAAACATTCCATTTGAATTAAACCCATAAGCAACTTCCCCATCTTTACTAACAGCAATAACCCCAGCTTTTCCTCCATCTAATCTCTCCTTAATGGCATAATTAACCGCCTCCTGTAAGGCCAACCCTTTATATTCCATAATTGCCGCCACATCACGTGCGAGTGTCGCACGAATTATTGCCTCGCCCTCACCTGTACAAGAGACGGCACATAGATCGCAAGCATATGTTCCCGCACCAATTAAAGGTGAGTCTCCTATGCGGCCACATTTTTTGTTCATTAGCCCGCCTGTTGACGTGGCAGCGGCGCAGCCACCAGTGCTATCAACGACAACACATCCAACGGTCTCTGGCGCATAGACACTGATGGGAAGGCCATTCATTTGGATTCCTGTGTCAAATGACATTGCTGGCCCCACACTCCCACTGCATGTGTCAGTAGCCACTCTATAATCGAACTGTTTCAAATAAAATTTAGGGAGTTATAAATAGTCAAAATTTTGAATCTCAAAATTCTTAAATTAATTTAAGATTAGCATAGTAAACTATAAAAAATTGGATAAAAAATAATGTTTATGATTAAATAGAATCTAAAAATTAATGAATTTCTTTTTTAGGTAAATAGAATATTATTTATTCACATATTACATTCATCTTAAAATAAATTTAATAATTTTTAAATTCATCATAATCTATTTTTTATTGGAATATTCTCATAGTTTTTTTTTAATCTAATTTTGATTGATTTTTCATATTTTATATTATTTTATGATTGAACATGACACAACTTTTCCTATAATAGTATAATCAATCTTTCAAAAATTTTAAAAAGATTGTTCAAAATGGAAATATTTCAGGCCAAATAATGAATATTAAAACTATTAAATTTATTTTAAAATAAATAAAATATACAAGAAATTATTTAAATTTCATATTAGATTAATTTCAAAATCATTTTAATAATATTTATTCTAATTATAATAAAAAAAGTTTTGGTAGAATATTTTCAGCCAAATATATAATGTATAAAATTTGAAAATAATATCAAGACCTTCTTAATAATTCTTATTATATAAAAGGTATTTGAAATCTTTATAAATAAAAATAAATAAGTAGATCTTTCAATTTTTTTTTTAAAGCCTGTTAAATCTCTTTTAAGTAAAGATTAGTTTGGGAAGATTGTAATTTATTATAAAGATTATTATTAAATTATTGTAAAAAAATATTTTTTTTTAAAACCTGCCATAAAAAATAGCTTTCTAACAATTATTTTGTAAGCAATAAAAAAAGTTGTAAAATAAAAATAATTGAAAAACTGTCCTAAATGGAAATCTGTGATTGTAAAATTGTTATATATATTTTTAAAAACTTTTGTAGAAAATAGATTCTTAGAAAAAAAAAAATTTTAAAGGAAACAAAAAAATCAATAAAAAATTATAATTACCGTCTAAAAATTAAAAAAAGTAAAAATATCCACAATGAAATCTAAATTTCTCACAAAGTATCATAAAAACAATGTTGATGAATAGAAAAATAAAACAAAGCTAATGAATAGATTTAACAAATTATATTAAATATACTTAAGCTACAAAATCTTGACTTCGCTTTGACTAAATAAACACCGTCAAATATTATTAATTATATTTTTTTAGGTTATAGCTAAACACTCATAATAAATTAATTTTTTTAATATAACCCTTGACTGAAGGAGTGGAAAGCCACACGTCTGTCTATATATATATATATATAAGAGAGTGCATTATTTATTGAAATATTTGAAGTGATGCTCCTCAAAATAAAATTTATTAGAAATTAATATTCTCTATTCCCATTAATTTAGTCTGAAAGCATAAATCTTTGCAAATATTTTTTAAATTTATTATCAAATAAGATTTTTTTTTTCAAATTTACACATCAAGAAAATTGTATCATTATGAAAATTATTAAATTTATTTTGAAATCATTTTAATATATTTTTTATGAGAAAATTCTATTTTTTTTTCCGCTTAACAATCCCGGAATCCGACATGTCCATTTTTCGCAAAACCATCACCCACCGTCCATATTGGCAACCCACCATTAAATAAACGGTCCAAAATGAAAGGATTTTCGTAACTTGCCTGTTCTATGGCAAAATCCTCGGCGCCTTGAAAGGCGAGGTACGAGTGCGGGGAGAATTCCATGACTCTGCGAGCAAGTGAAACGGGATTTTTAACGGTGGTGATGCCCGACACGGCACCGCATCGTCGATCTGGTCCGTTCATTATACTGGCCTCCATTTCCACCGTCCCGCGGGCCGTTAGAGCCGACCCACGGCCCGAATTGAAGAACGGGTCGGTCTCTAATTCTCTCACCAACATCTCAACCACGTCGATAGCCATAGCACCTGATCTCAGCGCGTCGGCGCCAATCTCAAGGCAACCGGCCAAAAGTCGTTTCGCCGCCGCCTGTCGTTCTTCAGGCAATCTTGAGTCAACACCGGCCCCGCCGTGGACTGCGATGGCCCAGCCGCCCATCCTCTCCTTTTGATCGAGAAGAGGAAGAGAGGAAGTGGAGGGCTGAGATTTGTGGTTGGTGTGAGAAGCAAGCGGTTGAGAGTGCTTGGAATTTATAGCGAAGATTTCCCGGACGTGAGGAGAGTTTTCGAAACGGCGTTTTGGGCGAAGCGTTTGGAGTCCGGAAGAGCGGACGTTAGCCGGGGGATTCGGACTGTGATTTGGCAATAAAGGATGGCGGAGTTCACGTGGTCAAAAATCATATGAAGCCGAGGTGCTAAGTGAAAATTGCTTTTAACATTTTAAAACGTTAGATCGTTGTTGAGATGTGTGCTAGATGATTATTAAATAATCAAGAATCTAAATAACCAGTCGACGGATTCTAATTACTTTTATAAAGTTGTTCGGCTCTATTGAATAGGCTGCAAGTTGGCACGGAATCTGGACTAGAATCTGCCTGTCGATTCCGTGAGCCGATTTTAATATTGATATAATATATTATCGCCTATAACTTAGGTAAAAAATCTAGAGGATTTACAGCTTACCAAAAAAAATTATGTATTTATATATTTAATATTTATTTTTTTTGTTTTTATTTATATAGCATGTAAATTTAAATTTTATTAAATATCTCTATTATAAAGTTATTTAAAGTTATATATATATATCCAAACTTCTTCAGGGGTTTTCCACGTAAAAACTTTGGTGTCTCTTATGAACGCTACACCCTCTCACTTATCTGATTATGTGCTGGATCTTCGTACAACGCTAAGACGTTAAACTATATATTTCTCTACCGCCACGAATATTCCAGGACGCAACAATCATATCATTCATTAAATAAGTTTATTAATTTTAATGATTATATATATATATACTTTTATATGACTTCACAGGTTTCTAATAGGCTCTCAACGGATAGCGCTGCAAACAAATTGAGTTTTCGATAAGCTATTCGTGGCTCGACTTAATTATAGCTCATTCATGATCGTTTGATTAAACAATTAAATAAGCTTGAACATTTGTTTTAAATATTCGATAGTTAAATAAACAATATGTGTTCGTTATAATCTTTTATAAACAATAAACATTTTATGTTATAATCATTTATTAGAATAAATATGTTTATGAATAAGATGTATTTATTCATGTTTGATAGATTGTTTGTTTAAAGTGTTAATGAACAAGGTTGTTTATAAGTGTTGCAGACAAGAAAATACCCGGCGATAGAGTTAGAAAATTTTTCATTTCAATGTTGTACAGATATGCAGCACACAAATAGAAGAAAAATGTAACACCAGAATTTTTTACGTGGAAATCCTGGAAAAGGGAAAAGCTATGGGGTCACGCATAGTTGAAAAGATTCCACTAGTATTTGCTTAGATTATAAGTGACTGATTTGTCCTTAAAATTGAAAACGATAAAATTAAAATAATCAACACATAGGTTGAAATTCCGTTACAAATGGAGTTCGGAAATTCGACGATGTTCTAGTGGTCGTGCGGAAATCCAGCTTCAATTGACCGTCGGGAAAAAAATTGGTGTTAGTTGGCTGTCGGGCAAAATTCTGGCGTCGGTCGACTGTCGGGTAGAACTCATTTGGGTTTGGATTGAGTTGAATTTGGTGCCATCGGGTTTGTATTTCCGAGATGTTCATTTCGACTAAAAGTTTGTTGAAATTAGAGTTCAGATGGTGTCTAATTTAATTTTTCAAGTTTCCAACTCGGTTTTTGCCTCGAGATTCATGCTTAATCAAAATAATTTTTTGATGATATATCAATTGCCCCCTTTTTTTGAACATCGAAGCTCTAGAAATCTGAAAATACTTATCTCAACATTTCAAATTGAATGAATCTAAATTTTTTTTAGAAAATAATGTTCCAAAAAATGTAACTTTGCTCAAAATTGATTATAGGAGCTCTATTGAGCCCCGGTAGTGTCAAAATTGGATATGAAACGTCAAAAAATGATTCCAGGGACCACAAAAACATCCAATTTGAACTGTTCGGGTCCAAAATCGGAGCCCAAATATGTTTAGGCGGCCGAACCTGACAGTTGTGCCTTGCGCATCCTTCCAGATGCGACCTTTGAGTGGGTGCACGGTTCAGCAGCCGGCTAACATCTGGCTTTGGTTAAGTATAATCTTTTATTTTTAAAAATTTATGGGGCCCACCAAAATTTTTTTATCTTTTTTTGTGATGGGGCCTACCTCCCTTCTTTTAAATCTGAAATTTATATTTTTGAGGGTAAAAAATTTCCAAAAAATTTTACAAAAATTTCAAAGATACATTTGTTACTTTTCTTTCTCACCCATTTTTCTTCTTATTTTAGAGGCATTCAACTACTTTTGGTAGGTGGCATCCCCTACTAAAATTCAGTACCTCTATTTCATGTAGAATTTTAAATGGGTGACATAACCTCTACCAAAATCCCCCCAGCCAAAGGAAATCACACTGTTATACGATTTGATGGTCTTAAGAAGACACAGAAAGTGGTTAAAGCTAATGATATCGTATCCACCATAACTGGTGATTCCTTGATCATTTTTAAGAAGAAATTTTACTTCCCTAATGATTTTGTGATGAAAGTGCTTGAAAGACCTGCTCATGCTTGCCCCCCTCCCCTAGGATTTTTAATGGTGTACAAGTTTAGTTTGCAAAGTGGGCTATGATTTCCCCCTCCTCCAAAGTTGATCGGCATTTTAGCGACATGTGGAGTGAGTTTGTCCTAGCTTTCTTATAAATTCATATCAAACATAGTGGGATTGATCATGTTTTTTAGAGCTTGTGAAGCGGTGTTGTTTCTAGAGTGCCTTTCTCGGATTAGTAGACTTATTGGTGATATACAAGGTCGTACTCTTTGAGATCTAAGTGGTTGGATATTCGCACTCGAGACCCATCAAAGAGCTGGGTTTGTAATTTCTTTTTTGTGCAGAATGATTGGCATCTCCAAGAAAAATGGAGAAAATTAAAGGATTTGCCCATTTCCCTACACATTGGAGTAGAGGATTTATTGAAGATATTCAATTTCCTTGATATCAACACCCTCCACTATTAGGTATGATATTTGAGTATATATGTAGATGAAGAATATTTATTTAAGATGGGATAATTTACTCAGACAGGGAGATCACATGCTTGTATGCTAAAGAAGTCAGTTAAAGTTCCAGAGACAGTTATTCAACCTTTAAAGGCTCATCCTAAATGATTAGGAAATGAGGGTGATCCACAAGCACCCAAGAAGAAAAGAGTAGAGGAGATTTTGATAGTTACTAGTAAAGGTCATGATGTCTCTCCATCCAAGTTAAATATTTTGGAAGTTCTAATGAAGCATCAATGTGTTGGCAGTCGATAGGCTGAGGAGCTGGTGAGTTTCTAGTCTCATTTTTTTTTTCATTTTTCACTCTTATAAGGATATGCCCCTTATGAGACTTTTTTCATTATTTTAGTTGGTGCAACTTATGGATATTGAAATGTAAATGACCAAGGCCTTAAATGACTGGAATAGTGAGTTTATGAAGGTGAAGTATCTTTAGGAAGAGTACAAAAAGAAGTACGATAGCAAGATCAGTGAGATGAAGGTTGTGGAGGAGCAGTTAGCAGAGTATAGGGCATAATAGGTTATTATGACAACTTCAGCCTATTTATAAAATTAATAAATATATCTTCTATATATTGAGTTGGTGGATGTGTAGGCAGTAATCAATCAGTATGTTAAGGATCAACATGCCCTTAAGGAGAATATTGTTGCCATTAAAAATAAGAATAAGAGACTATAGAGTTTGTTGTTTGAGAAAGAAATAATGTCTAAGTAAGTACAGTCACCTTCCAAAATCATAAAAGAATTCAAGAAGTCTGTTATCTTCAAGATGATCATCAAGGATTAGATTCAGGAAGCTCATGATCACATATATGACGTGGAGGTGAAGGCCTTGGAGTTGGAGTGTATGGAGGAAGGCTTTATCAGAGATTATTTGAAGGGTATACATCTAGTGCAGCATAAGATTTGAGCGGAGATCGAGGTGTTGACACCTAGCCAGGCTTCTAATGACTCTTCTTTAGATTCTGATGGTGATGAGGTAGAGATTGAGTTATAGAAGATATTTTTTTTTGAGATTGTTGTAATTTAATTTTTTATTGTTAAGATTCTTGTAATATGTGTGTTTTTGATGATTTCAAATATTATTATTTTACTTACTACTTCTTTTAACATATTTTGGATATATTATTTTTATTATTTTTGTGTACTAATATTTTTAAAAAATAATACTCCAGAGATTGTTGAAGACTTCAAATCAGATTATATTAGGATTCAATATAATTAAAGTATGTATTTTTCATTTTATTGAGTATGGGGGAGTGTGATTATAATTGAGTAATTGTTTACACACACACACACACACACACTTGGGGAGTGATTAAAAAATGTAATCTTTTTAAACTAATCATACTATATGAATTTATTTCGTATGGGACAATTTGTTCAATTATTCACTCCTGCAAGCAGTTAGAAGAATGGGAGAAGAAAATTTTTGTAAGTACTGATCATACTGTACGAGGGGTTCTTCGTACAGACGATGTCCAAAGTACAAATTAGACAAGTCCCAATTCATCCTAATGAATTTGAATTTTTCCTAAACTAATCGTACTATATGATATGTTGTTCATACAGACGATGTCTAGAGTACGAATAGGATTAGTGCTTTTTTGTTCTGATGATTCTCAAAGTTTTCTGATCTGATCATACTATACTATCCCTTGATCCTACAGATGACATCCAAAGTACAAATTAGATGGGTCCCTTTTCATCCCGAAGAATGCTAAATTTTTTTGAATGATTCATACTGTACAATGTTATGTTTGTACAGACGATGTCCAGAGTATAAAATTGTGGGGTGCCTTTCATCCCAACGAACTTAAAAATTTTCTTAACCATTTATATAGTATGAACAAGTTTTATACTAGATGATCATTGTGTACAAAAATATTTTGTGCAGATTCATATTGGTTTGTATGCAACAGTTTTTGAACTATTTATATGTATGAAAATACGATAGTATATGCTCAAAATGAAAATTTTCAATTTCCTTGATG